TGTCACCTGCAGAGGTAGAGAGGAACTCAAAGTGTGAACCCAATTTTGACTGAGTCCTCCTTCCAAATGTATAATTTATATTGGAAGTTCAGTACGCATTCACATCTTCAGTGTCTCTACATCTTAATAAGGCATTCTGACTTCCAGGAACAAATTAATTAATTAATTAATTAATTACAAGTTTATTTATTTATTTTGAGAGGGAGAGACCGAGAGAGCACATGGGGGAGGTGCAGACAGTGGATCCCTAGCAGGCTCTGCACTGTCAGTGTGGAGCCCGATGCGAGACTTGAACTCACAAACCGTGAGATCATGACCTGAGCCCAAACCAGGAGCCGGACGCTTAACCGACTGAGCCACCCAGGTGCTCCACCAGGAACAATTTTTTTAAAATTTGTTTTTTTTTCAACGTTTATTTATTTTTGGGACAGAGAGAGACAGAGCATGAACGGGCAAGGGGCAGAGAGAGAGGGAGACACAGAATCGGAAACAGGCTCCAGGCTCCGAGCCATCAGCCCAGAGCCTGACGCAGGGCTCGAACTCACGGACCGCGAGATCGTGACCTGGCTGAAGTCGGACGCTTAACCGACTGCGCCATCCAGGTGCCCCTCCACCAGGAACAATTTTAAAGTTCACTTACGACACGCAAGTGTTTGATATGGTTCTTTCATCTTGAATTTCTATTTTTATCACCTATATTGAAAAGCAGCATAACCACATTACACGTTATCGTCCCAACCACACCCTAAATGCCTTATGGATCTCTGGACTGTAGATTTACGGCAAGGGACGTGGACATTCTACTAAACAACTCCCAGTGTAAGCTATTTCCAGCTCACAGGTCTTGTTTATACAGATTCGGTTGGTTCTCCCAGACAGAGGTATTTATTGATGACTTTGTGCTCTGGCTCAAGGGCAGTACTGGGGCCTGGGGACAATCAAGTGCACCAGACATAGGTCAGCAGGGGCTCTGGACCTCAGTGCACGCTTGCCTCATTAAACATCTGTGTAATAGCCACAACAAAGCGATAACATGGTGGGGGCGGCGGTGATGTCCCTGCTGACGACTAGGGAAAAGATTTGAGATGATGGTTACCCCCATATCCTCTCCTTTCCATCCCACAGTCACCAAAGTATCGCTGCAACCTCTCTCCTTTGCTTCTTTGCCCCCAGGGTGCGTGTGTGGGAGTACAGACACAGGTATGTGCCCCCTCACGCTTTGTAGCTGCAGGGTATAAACTTTTCAGATGGCTGTCTTAGCTCCCCATTGTCCCGCCCGGAAGGGAGGACTCCTGTGCAGGGTTTAATATTTGGTGCTAGGAGCACAAAACGGAAGGGCATTGAGAGGGAAAGGGCTCAGGGCTCCTATCAGGAGCCAAATCCAGACTCCAGGGGCCAGGACTGCATCCTGGTTCTGCGGGAGCCTCTAGGATCATGCACCTAGCAGGTGACCGCTACTCAGCCCGCCCACATGTATTCCCACCCAGAGAGTGCCACAGAACGGGGAATGCCGGGGAGACTGTGGCTCAGAGAATTTGCTCATTCGCTCATTCTGCCGGTTTCAGGTGAGAAAAGTCAGACGCATAAAGTCATTAATACCCACCCGGACACTTGCGCTGTTATGTGCAAGACAAAGGAGGGATTTTCTCATGTTCCCCAAATCTGGGGATATGATATAAATTTTGTTTCCCATCTTGTTATACAGGAGCTCTGGTAAGTGACTCTCGTCCCAATCCATGACCTTATTACAAGAATGCACCCCCATATTTTTATTTTGTTCTGTTTTATTTTATTCTGTCAGAGTCCATTTTATTTAAACACAAAAAGTCAAGTGTTCATGAACGGATGAATGGGTAAACAAAATATGGTATCTCTCTCTCTCCCTATAGATATATAGATATCTCCCTTATGGATATTTATGGAACGAAATGCTATTTCACCTTAAAAACGATGGAAATCCTAGGGGTGCCTGGGTGGCTTAGGCGGTTAAGTGCCTGACTCTTGGTTTCAACTCAGGTCATGATCTCTCATTTTGTGACTTTGGGCCCCAGGTCGGGATCTGCACTGGCAGCACAGAGCCTGCGTGGGATTCTCTCTCCCTCTCTCTCTGCCCCACCCCTGCTTGCACTTTCTGTGTCTCTCAAAATAAATAAATAAGCTCTTAAAAAAAAAAAAAGATAAAAATCCCGTCATGTGCTATCACATGGATGAATCTTGAGGACATTACACTAAGTGAAATAACCAGCATTTGAATAGGAAATACTAGAAGGCAAACACTGTATGATTCTACTTATTATATGGGGTACCTAAGAGTAGTCAAATTTAGACAAAGAAAGGGGAAGGGTGGTCGCCAGGGGATGGGGGAGAGGGAAGAGGGGAGCTGTTGATGGATACAGAGTTTTAGTTTTACAAGATAAAAGAGTTTTGGAGATGAATGGTGGTGCCATTTGCACAAAATGGCGACTATTCTTCGCATGATTGTTATGTGGTATTTGTTGTTGTTTCAACCACACACAAAACGCAATGAGGTAATTATGACAAAGCAAGTGGGTTTTGATGGACCCCCAAAACTCTGGGGTCAGTCAGGGAGGTCTCCCCAGAAGAAGTGGCATTTAAGCCAAGACTTGAGGGATGCGAAGTTAACCATGAAAAGGGATGGGGGGACAGGCTGAAGAAGGCTCTAGACTGTGACCAGGTGAAGCAGGCCTTATCAAATCCCGTGTGGGTTACTACCATCAACTGGCTTCCTGTTTTCAGTCTCTTTCCACGTACACGTGGATACCAGATTAATTTTCTAGAACACTACCTGGATCATGGCACCCTGCCACCTTCCTGGCTAATCCTTCCAGAACGTTTCCTTTTTGCCTGCTGCATACCGCCCCTGCCTGGCCCTGCAGGCCTTCTTCTCCTGGCCCCACCCTGACCATTCGGGCTCCCTCTTCCATCGCCAGCCCCCACGTGTGAGCCCTACACCAGCCACGTCCCTCGGCCACGGTTCCGTGGACACACCTCTGCTTATGGCATTTCTCCTGCCAGGAATACCCTCCCTGCCCCCCACCCCCCCATGTCCTGGTCCCTTTTGTTCCTTCAAGCACCCCCTCAGCTCCCTCTCTGGATTCTGTAACATGTTATTTCAGCGTCTGCTTTCTTATCTTTTAACTCTGCCCCTCCGTCCCGTGAATGGAGCCTTACTCACGCGTGGGTCCCTAGTGCTGAGCGCCATGTCCTGGAGACTGACCCCACTTCTCAGTGCCTAACCGTCATCCTGAGAGTGAGTCCTGACTCGGGGGCTGTGGGACCCCAGGCTGCTCTGCCCCAGGGGGCCACCTGCTTCCCCCGGGCCCCAAGCCCGGCTCCCGCACACTTCCATCTGCGCCTGGCATTCTGGGCATCTCCCCAGCAGGCCCTCCAGATGCTTCCCGGGGTGATCTGCCCAACAGCACGGCCCTCCCAGGCGGGCGATTCTACCCAGGGAGAAGCGAGGGCAGGAGCAAGCACAGAGGCACATTTTCGCCAAGGCCAGAGGGCACCCTCTGGGGCTGGTGTGGCGGCCAGGGGCACGGGGGGAGGCGGGGGCGGCCCTCCTGTCCTCAGAAGCCACGCCAGTGGTTCAACTAGGGAGAAATGCCGCTTCCCGCAAACTGCAGATTTGCACGGTTTGCACAGTGCACCACGCGGCCAGCCGCGGCTGCGGGCGGCAGGGGAGAGGCGGGCCGGGGGAGGAGGCGCGGGGGTTGGGAAATCCACCTGGACGCCATCAGTCTTGCCAGAGTAAACAATGCTGACAGGAGTGCTTGCCGGCAGCCTGGTACAGGTTAGGGGGGGGTCACGGAAGCGGCCTGGTGACCCGCCTGCCTTAAGGTGGAGACGCTCTGGAATCTGTCACAAAGGACAGAGCTGAAAGCCAACGGCTGGTGGAATGATCCCGTGTCCTGGCATTCCGCACAACCTGGGAGTGCACACTCTCAACATGTCTTGAATGTAAATCTGAGCTGGGATCAAATACACACATTGGAAGCCAAACAAAAGAAAGATCCACCGCCAGCGACCTCCGAGCGGGATCCATCGCCTACGTGGCGCTAGCAACAAAAAAAATATATATATGTATATATATTTTTAAAAGCTGTTTCTCGGTTTTTCTTGAAGCTCGAGGGTCTAGAAAGAATTGCTGGAGTTATAAGGAGAATCTACCACCTAATTATCTAGAACTCTCCAACACCACGGCAGAGCCTAACTCGATCGAGCAAAGGTCTTTTGTTAACATCCTAGAATACGGGAGGTGGAAATCACTCTGTTCCTCTTCCTCAGAGCCAAACCCTGCAAACACCCCCTTCTTAGTGCAAATGTGAAAGTGACAGCAGTGACACGTTTGGGATACTCAGGGGGAGAGAAACTGTGAGCAAAGGGGTTTGGGTAGCTCATAAGGGATTCTGAATCGGAAGCACCAGCATTTTCCCTCCCTTCAGCCGACAGGCACCGAGGGCCTGTTACGTGCCTCAACTGTGTCAGAGTGGGTGTGTGTGTGTGGGGGGGGGGCATCCAGACACTGCAAGTCACGGCCAAGGTCCTTTAGCTGAAATGACACACACATGGTTTCTTCTGAAGAAACCCTGTAAGATGTCTGGCTAATCTGTCTTGTGACCTTGGGCAAGTCACTTTACCAGCCCGGGTCTTGTTTCTTCACCTATAAAACACAGATAGTAAAACCATGGTGCCTTCGGGGTATTCCTGGCACTAATGAAGGCTCATAAAGTGCTTTGAGATCCTTAGGATGAAAGTCTCTTCAGAACAGTAAAGCCTGATTATTACGCTTCGAACATGACATTCCCATGAAATCCCTGGTCAGGCTCGTAGCCCGCCTCTCAGTGAAGATTTAATAGCAGAGACTTGTCGTAAGTTCGTAAAGGACAGAGACCTCCATTAGTGATACAAAATATGCCGCAGCGAACTAGTATATTAAGGGCTATTATCATGAATAATTAAGGCCAGGTTCTACTTACAGATTAATGAACCAAGTCTATGTTGTGATGTAGTGGGTTTTCATTGTGGCTTCCTCAACCAGCTCATGTCATGAAATTTACTTATTCTCAGCGGATCGTCCAAGGTTGCATGGATTAGCAGGTTTATCCCACAATATAGGTTGGCAAAGTAAACTTCTGAAGGATACTTACATGCCCCACTGTAAGAAATAAACCCAATTAGAGGTCTCTTAGTGCAGATGAAGAAGGTTCATTAATGATAATGAAGGGCTGACCTACCCCGGGCCCCTAAGTTTGTAATTAATCTTGTACAGACCTTGCAGCTTGACTGTATTGAAGAATATCAAAGTCATGTACGTTACTCCAGGCTAACACACACGCACGTGGAAAGGAGAACTCAGGCTCCTGCGCACTTTGGACAAGGTAATGTTACGTCTGATGACGCATTCACTTGAGAAGGTAGAGCCGTATTAATTACATCAAATAAAAGCCTTTAGATAACTCTCGGAGTTTGAATATAAAAATCCGTAATTTCTGGGGCGCCTGGGTGGCTCAGTCGGTTAAGCACCCGACTTCAGCTCAGGTCATGATCTCGCTGTTCGTGGGTTTGAACCCCGCGTCGGGCTCTGTGCTGACAGCTCGGAGCCTGGAGCCTGCTGCGGATTCTGTGTCTCCCTCTCTCTCTGCCCCTCCCCTGCTCGCACTCTGTCTCTCTCTCAAAAAATAAATAAATACTTTAAAAAATCCAGAATTTCTGAATTCAACAGCATTAAGGAAGGGATGTCCAGGGTAAGGGGTAGAGTGTGGATTTTAAACAACCTGGCAAAGAGGAATTATAGACAGTAATGTGAATGTACTGATTAGTGGCATGACGTAGGCTAGAACTGTCCCAAGACGAGTTAAAGCAAATATCTAAAGTATTAGTGTTTATACTTTAGCAAATATCTAAAGTAGTAGTGTTTATATCATGTGCTCCTTTTTTCTGATTGCCATCTTCTCCTGTGATTTGTAAAATCATGCTGCTATTGGAATTAGCCAGCAGAAAATAATTAGCAACATCAGTGTGCCTGTGACTGCATACAGTGAGAGAGAAAACGAGATTACTTTCTGCTGGAGATAAGGGTCACTTTTAGAATTCCGGAACGTTATTTGAGAAGGAAAGGAGCTGGGTCACAGAAGAGGATGTTACAGCAGGGAGCTCTGTCTTTGCAGCTGGGGGACTCACCTGCAGCCCACCTGGATGGGCCCAACACTGAGAAACATAGTTCACGCCATTCGGAACCATTAGGTTTCTAGATAAGCAGGGTAAACTGACTTTCAAGGGAATCTAGAATTCTTTTCCTGACTCAAAGCCGAGTTTTCCAAACATGCTGGGCAGTGGTATGCCTTTGTGCCTTTGCTCAGCAAGGACCTCCACCCACTCACCTCCTCCTCTGCCGGGGAGACTCCTACTCGTCCTTCCAGATGCAGGTCTAAATACCTCTTGCTCTGCCCAAGCCTTCCTTGGTGTTTGCAGATAGAAGTGTACGCGTCCCTCTTGCTGCCATCTCACACTCTGCTTACGCGTACGTCTTCTTCACGCAACTATCCTATTGGAAGGACTTCAGTGTTGAATTCCCCCTTGAGGCCCGAGCCTTCAAGCACCGGGGCCACCTCTTAATCACCTTTGTTGTGGATCTAGCAACAGCAGTGACAAGACAGAGTGCCCGGTGCCTAATACGAGTCCATTGATTCTAAATGCCAATGTTTACAAACCAACACGGCACGGGCTGACCCAACCAGAGTAAATTCTGGCTGTCACCAGTTGTTAGGGCTGTTCTGGAATACAGCTCTCCACAGACTGCACAGCAGACACTGGATGTTTATGAAAATAAGTTCAGCTGCAGCCAGAGTGAAAAAGCAGGGCTTTTACTGCACCAGGGCTGGGTGTCACCATTCTCCCACCTGTGACGGGAGAGCCATGCCTTCTCCACGATGTTGTTATCAACCGGAGATGAGAAATCACACGAGAAAGTGCTTCGCGCTTGATACGGGCTGACTGGTTCCGAATGTGTCTGTGCTTAAGTCGCCAAGTATTAGAAGCTCTGGAAGAGTGGGCCCTAAATTCATCATTTCGAAAGAGATCGTTATCTTCCTAGTGGTGAGGGATCCTTTGGGGAGTCTGGCCTGGACCCCTTTCAGAGAAGGTCAGCTTCAAGGGTCTGGGTGACGTTGGTGGTTCTATGACCAGGAGGCCCAGCCCTAGGTAAAGGAGACCAGTCAATCTGGGGATAAACAGTGCCTGGTGGAAAATGCCCTGGGCGGTTCTCAAATTTTGCTGCACATTAGAATCACCTGGGGAAGCGTTAGAAACTGCCCTCCAGGCTATTCTCCAGGTAAATTAAATCAGAATCTCTAGGGGGGTGGGGGGTGAGGGGTGTGGTGGGACCCAAATACGGGTATTTTCCAAAGCCCGCTTGCATTATTCCAACGGGCAGCCAAGGTTGAGAACTGGAGTCCAGGGCATCATGGCCACAGAGGCCTGGCAGGCCAGGTGACAAGCCTGTGTAAGACAATTGGGAGTAGTGAGGACCGCGGTAAACTGGAAAACACACGTCCTGTTGGCAGATTTTCCACTTTTAGAAAACAAACACGCCACTGAAGCCAACGAAACACAGCTGTGGGCCGGATTTGGCCCATGGGATACGGGTTTGCAAACCCCACCTGTGCTAACATTGCCTGCGAGGCCGCGGAAGGTTCTCAGAAGATGTCAAAGCCGGGCCTCAGGAAGCCATCGGCTGTGTACTTCCCAAGGATTTCCCCTACGTTCCCCTCTCTTTTTCCCCAAGCGGTGTCTCCCCAGATGCTATTGTTAATTGGCTTTTATTTATTTTACCTGCGTTTACATTTCAGGCGCCTAGAAAACGTATTTTTAGATGCCGCCACAGCGCATGCCTGTGGAGGTTCAATTCCATCCTGGCAGAAAACGGATTCCCTCTGATTCCTGCTGACACAGCTCTAGCGGGTCAGCCAGTCCCGGTTCCTCTGTTTCAAGGGGAGGAAGCAGATCAGACCGGCAGGCTGTTCCTTCAGTAGAACAGTCCGGTGTCTGTAGGACGGGGCTCCTTTTCAGGACCAGCCTGGCCACGTGGGGCATTTCTCTTCTGGAAGAGGACGGGATTGGGCCACACTCGCAGCAGCGAGTTGACATTTTTATTTCAAAGCCCTCGGTCCAAGCTCCACTGTGTTCCTTTACGTTCTCCGGGTTCAGAAGTCGTTGACTACACTGGGTGTGGCCTGGACAAGGCTGAACGAGTCCTATCACGTTTTCCTTCCAGCCCATCCCCACCCGTTGTTAGTAAGTACTTCCCTTACTACGCCGAGGCCCCGACCGGGCCCTGATGGCGGCCAGCCTCGGTGGGGTGGCTGGGACGCAGCCCTTCCCAGGAGGTTCGGCCCTCCTGCACACCGGCAGGTTCCGTTCCTTCAGCAGGTCTCCGTAGACGCCACAGAGCGAACGGACCGCGCTAGCTTCCCGTGTGGAATGTCTGAATCTCCTTCCAGAACCGTCCCCGCTTTGCACAGAGTTGCCATCCCTCCGTCAGCTCTGCCGTTTAACGCCTTTCACAAATGAACCCGCTCGGGTCAAGGACTGTAAAGAAAAACAAACGCCACTTTACCGTAATGATAATTGCATAAGAATAAACCAGCACACGCGGAACAAATGAATGAACGACGGCCTCACCCTAGCCCGTATTTATTGCAAACCCGTAGCGGACAGGTTTCACAGGGAAAGAGGAGGACAGCGTGTGATTCTCTTCTCGGTGTCACTGAGCAGTTTTGAGCCTCTGCTGTGTGTCCGTCCCTCTGTTACAACTGGGGGGACAGAGAAGAACTAGGAAGCGCCTGCCCTCAGGTAGCTCCCCGCAGAGTGGGGTGATCTAAGCGCACAAGCCAGCGAGCCCAGTGCTCTAACAAAGGGGTGTACAGAAGTTCCTCCAGAAGGAAGTGACTAACCCTGCCTTGGGGCACAGGGAATGTCTTGCAGAAGCTGGGACATCAGGGCTGGGTCTCAGAGGCACGCCCTTTCCCAGCATGAGCCTGACTCCAAGTTGGGGACAATGTCTGCCCTCAAGGGAAAGTCGAAGTTGGGCCCCATGCCTGGTTCCCCAGCGCCGGTGTCCCAGATGCCTTCGCAGGGGCGGACAGGGCAGACACAGCCTTTAAAGGCCAGTCCCCTCCCCCTCTCCCATCACCCATGTCCCTCACCCACCCTCCTCACCCACCACTTGGGGGACAAAGAACCCCAGTGAAGAGGCAGGGCATTGGGGGTTGATGACTCACAAATAAAATGGCAGAAAGCTGGGAATGAAAGCTGGTATGCAGTATGCCCAGGTGTGTGTGTTTGGGGGGGGCTGGTGGGAGAGACCCAGATTGGGGTCCTTTACCACTGAAATTGTTTGGAATTGTTGGTGCATGGAGATGATAAAAAATAGATAGACTTTGTGTCAACCATCCTTCAAAAACAGACAAATGAGCAGGTCGAGTTCTGTTATTGTTTTGAATTTCTCTGGAGACAACGTGCTCCCTTATTCCATGCACTCCAGGTGGACTCCTCCCATGCTCCCGGCCCCATTTGTCACGGAATAAAATAACTTCCTGAAAATTCAGAAAAAAACCTGAAAATTCCAGAGCACTGCCCACGCCTCGGGATTTCAAACAGGATCCGGCTCTTGGTGTGCCCGGCATGTCACAGCCGGCAGGAGGGACCCGGGACGTGACTTACAAGTCCTGAACCCCCTGAGGATAAGGTGTTATGAGGATCCATCATGCCAACAGCCCAATGGTTGCCCCCCCTCCATCTTGAACCCATGGGGCAACGGGACTGGGGAGCAGGGAAGGACCTAGGGGGTCCAAGGAACCCTGCCTCTCCGGGATCCAGAGTGGGTGGATGTGAGATGATGCAAACTGTGTCAATGATTACTCTGACCCTCTCTGGAAGAGACACCAGAGCCTCGTGGGGAGGTAAAGAAACTTTCCCAAATGACAGAAGCAAGAAGTTTGTTTGGACCCAGAAGCATAAACTTACTGTTTTTTTTCAATATTAAAAAAAAATTTTGAATGTTTATTTTTGAGAGAGAGAGAGACAGTGAGCGAGCAGGGAGAGGCAGAGAGAGAGAGGGAGACACAACATCCGAAGCAGGCTCCAGGCTCTGAGCTGTCAGCACGGAGCCCGATGTGGGGCTCGAACCCACCAACGGTGAGACCGAGGTCTGAGCCGAAGTCAGACGCTCACCCGACTGAGCCCCCCTCCCCCCCGGGGCCCCTGGATGTATAAAGCTATTGTTAAAAAGTCTTATAAAGACTCTACAGGCAGAATGTTTAGATTTGAACACTGTGAGCTTAGGCAAGTTACCTCATCTCTGGGTGCCTCAGGTTCTCATTCTAACATGGGGATAATAATAGTACCTGGAGCATTGGGTTGCTGGGAAGATTAAATGAGCTAATACGTGGAAAACACTTGGCTCGGAGCCTGGCAAGCAGGAAGTGTTGAACGACGGTAACCATTCTCGCTAGTGAAGGTGACACCCGCTAAGGTGTTCAGGTCTGATGTCCCTACCTTCCCAGTGATCTGGGGTCTCTGACTTCTCTCCCACAGGAAATATTTAGGGAAATAAAGATTTCTCCAAGAACACAGGGTACTCTTCAAGAAGCACCGTCTCCCTGAAGTTACCAAGTGGCCTCATGAGCAGAGCACCTCTGGTTAGCAGAATCCTGTACTATCGTGGTAGGAATCCGGCAGAAAGAGAGGGGCCCCTAAGGCATCTCTGCCTCATCCTTCAGTGGACGCATCGCCCCTGGTTTCCATTTCCCGTCCATCAGAGTGTCACCGGAGAGAATGGAGTGTCCCCGTCAATTGTACGTTACATTGCTTTCAAAAGTGAAAATTGTTTCCTTATTACACGAGCACTGCAAAGCGCTTGCAGAAAAAAACAGCCTGAAAGAAAAAAATCCCCCATCTATGCTCCTCACCTAGACACCTTCTGGAACGCCAGGTGTATGACTTTCTGGATCTTCTACATCACATACACAGCGTAAAAAAAAAAAAAAAAAAACAAAAAACCCAAAATGTTGGCTCAGTATATATATAATTTTGTAACCTGTATTTTCCATTTGAGAGTGTATCATGAGCATTTTTCCATGGCAGTAAATATTAATTCTACAACAACATTTTTTAATGGCTGAAGAGCATTTCATGTAACAGTCTTTCGATACAACTCTTACTGTTTCACGCACAGCTCCTTTCTGATTTTGAAATATTTTGTTTTTTAATGTTTATGCATTTTTTGACAGAGAAAGAGAAACAGAGTGTGAGCAGGGGAGGGACAGAGAAAGAGGGAGACACAGAATCTGAAGTAGGGTCCAGGCTCTGAGCTGTCAGCACAGAGCCTGACGTGGGGCTCGAACTCACAAACCGTGAGATCGTGACCTGAGCCAAATTTGGACACTTAGCCGACTGAGCCACCCAGGTGCCCCTGGTTATATTTCAAAACTGAGATCTAGACCATATAATTCACCATTTTAAAATGCAGAATTCAGTGGGTTTTAGTATCTTTACAAGGTCACGCGACTATCACCGCTAATTTCTAAACGTTTTCATCACCACCCCGCGATAGAAACCCTGTACCCATTACTCTGCTTTCCTCCCTATCCCAACCCTCGAAAACCGTGAATCTGCTTTTCGTCTCTGTGGATTTGCCTGTCTGTGGATATTTCGTAGACATGAAACCATACGCTATGTGGCTTGTGTCTGACTCCTTTCATTCAGCGTCATGTTCCCAAGGTTCATCTGTGTGCTAGGATGAATCAGTATTTTGTTCCTTTTTTATAGTTTTCATCGTACAGATATGCATTTTCTTTATCCATTCATCAGTTATTGTAATTTTATAACACGTTTTCTAGTACCTCAGTGGTTCTTATAGTCCTCAGGCACTCAGCATCACCTGGGAACTTGTTCAAAATGCCAATTTTCAGGTCTCACCCAGACCCACTGGAATTATAGCCCCTTGGGGGTGGGGCTTAGCAAACTGTTTTAGCAAGTTTTTCACGTGATTCTGACGCCTACTTGTTTGAGAACCACTAGCATACCTTATTACACTTCTTAAACACTTTCTTGGCTTTTCTGGGTGCATTAATTCCTCTGGCCAAAGTCACTAGTGTTTTGGAACGTATATCCAGGTTCAACTTTCATAAGCTGTTAAAGTTCCGAAATCTTTCATCCATGCTTCCTTCATGGTTAGGGTCAATAGTTACCTGATACTTAAATTCTCCTCTCCTCTGTTTCTCTCGTTTCTAAATCCAGTCTGGGGTATTAGATCCAGATTATTATATATTTTTTTTTGAAATGTAGATTGTCTTCAGGAAAAAGATGTTCACCTTTGTATTCGATTGTGTGTTATTCAGAAGATCATCTGTTTTAGCTGGTGTTGGGGGCCCACTGTAATTTCTCTGTTCTTGGGCTCTTTCTTTGATACTCTGAGTTGCTATCGGGCACAAAAACTACAATTCCCAGAATGCACTGCGACCAGGGTTCTCATGTCTCCATTGCCTCACTTGTGGAGACCACATCTCAGGATAGCCAGTGCGTGTCACCCATTTGCCTGCCTTCTCTGTGTAGAGAAAGTTATACTGGGTGGGGTGGGGTGGGGCAGGCATAGTGCCCAAAAGGCAGAAGGCTAGTGGCCTGGTTTTCTGGCAATGATAAGGAAGCTACAGATATCATCCTTTCTTTTCTTCTTCTGTTGGTCTCTGTTTTGAGACCCGAAAAAAATCACTCCACGAACTAAAAACAACAGTACATTTATAACATTTTTGCTCTGTCCACCTTATTGCTTAGTATCAGTTTCTCCAAGATTCTGTCTGTTTCTTGAAGCAAGGGTGTCTTCGTTTTCAGCAATGAGAATTAAAAAAGATATACTTCCCTATGTTCTCATGGGCACGTTGAGAGAGATTGGTTGGATATGGCGTCCACACGCTTGTTTGAAATAGGGCAGCACATTCACCTCAGAGCCTGTGTCTCAGGTTCACTTTGGTTTAAAAAAAAAAAAATCACATTTGGACTGAAAGGGAAAGAGATAGTACAAAATGAAAAGAAGTCTTTGGACTCCCAGAATTCTATTGGTGAGAAGCAAGCAAAATTATGCAGCTGCAAACACAGGTCACCTTTCATGGAAAAGGAAGAAAAATTTAGATGTAGAAATGAGAGCCATGAGAATCACTCCTGAGCAGATATGGGACTGAATCCTAGACAAGGAACTTCCAACATTTGCCCAGCTGGATTTCAGGACGGCTACCAGCCAGTGGCTTTGGTGTACCTCCCGGTTTCTTACCCCCTTTCGAACAGGTGCATCTATGGTGGTTACTCTGTGCCTGTCCTGTCATCATATGTTTGGGGGGGGGTGGTTTGGTGCAGATAACGTGTATCTTTAGTTCATAGTGAGGGGAAGTGCATGTAAGGAGCTGCACTCAAAGAACTCTGCCCGAGGAGCTTTAGCTGCATCTGAACTTGATTCAGACAATGAGATTCTGGGCTTTGAGCTGATGTTCAAATGGGTGAGAATTCTGGTGGCCTTGGAAGGGGATGGCGGACTT